AGATACCAGAAACAAACAAAAAATTAGTCCACAATTTCCACAGGATCACCAAAATCCTTCAAGAACTTGTTTAACATGACCTCAGCAGACAGAAGGCAAATATATGTTTCATGGTGCAGAACTGGTTGGCTAAGAGGCCTATAAATGCCTCCAAAACATGTAAGAGCTCACTGCATTTTAAAATTTTAATATATACATTAAACTATTCCAAGTCGTAATTCATATTTTTAAAACATATAAAATTAAGAGCCCTACAAGACTAACTTCACTAAGACAAACCATCACAGCACAAAGATAGATGTTCATCAAAAGAACATTCACGGTGACTACGTTTGGCAATTTGCTGCATCAGAGTATGAAGAACTGCCTAGTCTGAAGTGAACAGCAAAATGGTTTTATAGAAATTTTAAACAACGCAACAGATTATAGGCAATAGATTTTTAAATCTTTCTGAAACACACCAAGGCTTTACAGAATGCATGCATGGAAAGAATACAAATCGCTTTACAAAAGCATGGTGCTAAAACGTGGGATAAGAGGGTATTATTTTAGCAGAACTACTGCTCCGCCAAAATTCAGAACCTTTCTACTTCTTCTAGAGACTCTTAAATCTACAGGTCTATTCAGATTGCTTAAAGTTTAGTGTCTTACGGAGATTAGGATGATTACATCACATTTAAACAACTGAATCCCAAAACACAGCATATTCAAGGATAAAAGGAAACTTTTCAATTTACAAACACTAACATCACAATTGTTATTTCTCCAGTTTCCTCCCTTCTTAAGGACTTAAGGGGCAGATCTCCGATTAATTAGCGTAGTACAATTAGTTCTACGTTTGTTTTTAATACAGCCAGGTCACGCACATCTGACATTTTTACCTTTTACTTCCCTTTCAAAGGAAAATAACTTCCAAAGTGAGATTCAAAACCTTAACAATTTTTTGCATTAAATGCTAAAGTAAACAGTATCAATATCCTAACAGTTTGTGAGGAGATGCTATAGGATTTCCCATCAATTCACAGCCTACCTTACTGTACACCTTCATGTACACCAAGTAACCAACTTCAGAAAAATGGTGATTCAACATCTCCTCATTTTCAGAAGTCAATGAAAGACTAATTCCTCATAAAATACTGCTTCTTCACAAAGGAAAATCTTTTAACTCCACTAGACTGCGCTATTTTCTACTCCAGGGCAGAATTGTTTTTTATTATTATTTTTTTAACTAGAGGCCTGCACCCACAATTGGATTCCCAACAGTGCGATTCCACAGCAGACATGGAGACGATCTCCACTTAGACTGTTACATTGCCTTGGAGTTTTGGGCATTCTCCAGGGAAGCTGCTTTGCGTTTTGTTGCTATTGCTGAGCATTTGGCATAGTCTGAGCGCATCTACCAAATCAGATCTCTCATGGGATGCAAGCAGCCATTGCTGTCCTTTCCCTATGTTGGTTCACAGCACTGTGCAGGGCAAGTGTTTGTGCTACCACACAGTGAGACGGGGCAGGGAATTCCTCCCCCTGAACACAGCCCAGCAAGGAAGAAGGCTCTAGTTCACCACATGGTCACACAATCGTTTTCGCTAGCACAGCGAAGGAGCAAGTGACTTATGCACCACTGTTGCCTACAGTGACAAACTGCAGTTTCACATTACCTCCACCACAGTCTAACTGCAGGGTGTCACCAAAAGGAGCAGATCTACCTTCTTTCCTCATCCTCCTTCCCAGTGAAACGCCTTCCCTGCCCGTTGCACTCAATTTAGTAACTGCATGTCTGCAAGAGTCAGATCAACAAGCTCACCTGATAGAAAACTATGCACCCTCCCAATTCCAACTGCCCCAGCTCACCCCGCGGCTGTGTGATTGCTAGATCCAGCTCCAGGGAGGGCACAGAACAAGGCTGCTTTTGACAGCAGCTGCTATTTAGACTGGACCAGGTGTGACGTGACATACCTTAGCCTCCTTTTACTTCTAAATAAGCTAGTTTAAGCAATTGAAAGGACTAAGATATCTAGATGACCATAAGACAACAACGTATTTGTGTATTACTGAATTTGTTAGCATCACTGTGGCAAAACCATGCCAAGAGGTATTCAAACTAGCAAACATCTAGGATGTATGAAGACCTAATTACAAATATGCTGAAATGCTATGGCTATATACACATAACCTCAGCAGTTCCAAAATGACTGATCTAAATCCTCACACTCCACAGAGAGATCATCTGCTAACTGACCACTGTCTGGAAGAAGTGAATAGCACCTGCACATCCTTAAAGATAAGGACAAGAGTAAATCCAAGAACAACTCCTTCCTCCTCTGGAGTATCATAAAAAGGATACACCTCCAAGCTTTATTTGGTAAAAATGTGACTAAAATGGACAGATCTAATTTGAAACTAACCTTTTTTTAACCCTGGAATCTGATGATAAAAAGACATAGAAGGAGGCATAGACAAAATATTTGCTTGGGGACCATCTCATGATGATATATGCACCGTCCTAAGATTTCAACTTCTACTTACTCTTACAGTTTTGGATATCCTATCAAAAAAGTGTCATTTGTTTTCAAAAATCCAGACTAACCCTAGGATAGCAACAAGCGAAAGTTTTCCAAGAACCACTACTAATGGGCAGAAAAATACTTTAAGTGAACTATTTATTGTCCTGAACCTTAAAGACCATCTCTAGTCTTATGTGAAGGACTGAGCTCAAATCTTTTGGTGATCACGTGAAGAAACTTTCTATGTATTAAGAAGCTTCATATCACAAGTATATTTCCACGCGTAAGCAAAAGTTTCACCCTTTACATCCTGAACTTCTGTAATTGAGCTGCTTTTCTGAACTTCCTGTTACCAATTTTAAAATGCATGCTTTTAACGTTCAACATTAAAGCTCATATATAGTATTTTCTTCTGTTGTTCAAAATCCAGTCAGCTACTGAAACGCTTCTGGTGAGCAAGCTGGCATAACACAAAGGAATCTGATTTTGGGCTTTTTTTTTTGTTTGGTTTAAGTAGAGAATCTATTAGCCTGTTACAAAAACAAAGCATACAAAAAATATATCGTTTTCCCATTAACCTGATACCTTTGCAGCCCTGGAAAGAGCTCTACTGCAAATACTACTCTTAACAGCTCTACCAGGCAGCACAATGAAGCACTTTGGCCACCTTCAATATCATTGCTACCCATTTGTTTGCAGCAGACATGGATATCGACAACCTTTGCTTAAGCAGCAAAGCGAATGAAACCAGATACGAATGAAACTGGACAGAAGAAGCCCACTCGAGATTTCAGCATAAGGTTAAAAAAAGTCTTCCTGTTTGTGGAAGAATTTAAAGAAAAACGAATGAGGGAACTCTCTTTTTATTCAGCAAGAGGAAGTGCAAGTCAACAGCAGAAAAAGATGCAGTAGCATATGTCACGTCCAAACGCTTCCTAGAGCGGGTAGGAACCCTCGATTCTTGAGCCATCCAGCTGCGCGGGCAGCCCCGTAGGTGTGTTTTGCTCCTTACGTGACCCAGGCAAAGAGACTGGACTGAAGACCGGGCTCCGCACCGCCCCCGCCACCTGCCCCGACCTAGCCCTTTTGGGAGTCTCCAGCCAGAAAGCCGTCTCAGAAGCGCAGGCTCCCCAGGCGGTCTCCGGCTCTAAGGAGCCGGCCTCGCCTCGCGGCCGCCGGGAGGG